TAGAACGCTACGCGTAAAAGCTATATTAGAGAATAAGAGGTTTATAGCCTATATAGATAGTAGAGTAGTAAAAATATATATTTCTACTAGCCTAGTAAAACTACAGAATATACTATTTTAAGAGAAATAATAACTATACTAAGTACAACTCGTAGATAACTAGCTACTCGCCTTTAGCTAAGAATAGATTTACTTAGAAACTAAGGTATAAGTGTTAGATGTCTAGAGAATATAGAAATAATAATTCTATAATATTATAGAACTAGAAAGTATAGACGTACTTCTAGAACTAGACTAGCTATAAAGACATAACTCTAATATTAGTTAGATTAGGCTAGAACTCTAAGAAAGGCCTAAAGCAGTATAGAAGGCTAGAGTAAGACACTACCTAAGAGCTTACTAAAAGCTAGAGGTAAAGATTAGAAGAATATTATTTATAAGTTTAATAAAATAAGTAAAGAAATAACCTTAAGACGTTAGCGTTGTATAGATACAAAAGCTATAACCTAATATAGAGTAACTACCTTAGAAGGTTAAGAAAGACTATAAGAAGTTCGCGTTATTATTTAATAGATAGAACAACGGCGTTCTACCTAAATATAAACTATAGAACTATAAGATACCTATAGAAGATAAAGCTACGCTAAAACTAGAGCTAATATACCTACTTAGCTATAAGCAAAGAGAGAAACTACAAAGATATCTAAAGAGACTTCTACAAAAAGAATATATTTAAGAAAGCTAAAGTCTAATAGCCTTACTAGTACTATTCGTGCTAAAAAAGAATAGATAGTTAAGGTTGTGTATTAACTACTAATAGCTTAACTAAGTAACTTAAAAGAACTAATATCTGCTACCTATAATCTTAAAACTTACAGACTAGCTTATAGAAGCATAGTAGTTTATAAAGTTTAATATCTAAGAGAGATACTACTAAATATAGATTAAGAAAGACTATAAATAGAAAATAGCCTTTAGAATAAGAGAAAGTCTATATAAATACCTAGTTATACTATTTAGACTTACTAACGTACTAGTAATATTCTAAAGTATAATTAACGTAGCTCTATACAAATACCTAGAAAGGTTTACTATAGCCTACCTAGACAACATACTTGTGTACTTAAAGAGAGAATTAGAAGAATATAAGAACTATATACAAAGAATACTATAGAAGTTTAGAGAGTATAGACTTCTAATAGCTTCTAATAAGAGCGAGTTCTACTATATAGAGACTAGCTACTTAGAATTCTACCTAACCTAAGAGGGAATTTAGATAGAAACAGATAAGGTTTAGGCGGTTCTAGACTAGCCTATACTCTAAATAGTAAAAGAAGTATAATTCTTTCTAGAATTTGCAAACTACTACTAAAAGTTTATCTAAGAGTATTTATAGGTTACTACTCTACTTATAGAGATTATAAAAAAGAACTAGAGGTTTAGGTAGAAAGATCTATAGTAATAAGCGTTTAAAACGCTAAAATAAACGTTTACTACTATACTACTACTATAAACGTTTAATAAAAACAAACTAATATAGGTTAAAATAGATACGTTAGACTAAGCTCTAGAGGTATACCTTAGTTAACCTAGAGAAGATAGTAAATACTAACTATACTTCTTCTACTTAAGAAAGTTCTTAGTACTAGAACTTAACTATAATATATATAATAAGGAGCTTATAGCTATTATAGTAGTTATAAAGGAATAGAGAATATACTTAGAAGGCGCTAAGTACTCTATTAACGTAGTATTAGACTATAAGAACCTTATAGCGTTTATAACAACAAAAACGCTAAACTAATAATAAGTTAGATAGGTAGAAACGCTAGCTACGCTAGACTTTACAATTTAATACTAGAAAGGCACTAAAAATAGAGCCGTAAATATACTTAGCTATAGAACTAACTACGTAGGTACTACTAAAAAGAAACACAAAGCTATACTCTATACTAGACTAGATAGAGCTCTAGAATATAATAGACTATAGATTAGATAGGTTATAGAAATTAGAGACTAATAGAATAATAGACTAGAACTACCTAATAAGTAAGAATAATAGAAAGTGCTAGAAACGCTATAAATAGAATTTCTCTAGAAATTTTATAGCACGATAACGTATAGGCACTAAGAAATTAAACGTACTCTTAAGAGGCTATAGCGAGAATATAGATTCTCTATAATAAAAGAAAAAGTTATAAAAGTAATACAAGAATATATAGACTACTAATAAAATAAAATAGTTAGACACTAACTATATAGACTACTATAACTATTAGAACTACCTATAGTACTATAGTAATACGTTACTATAGACTTTATTACAAAGCTATCTAGATTAATTAAACCTGCGTTATAAAGAAAGTATAATACTATCTTAGTAATTATAACCTAATTTACTAAGTACGTATATTTCTACGTAACTAGTAAAACTCTTAAAGCTAAAGAACTAGCTTATAAGGTAAGCTAATAACTATTTAGCTAATATAAGATACTAGAATAAGTTACTATAGATAGAGATAAGTTATTTATATCTAAGTTCTAGAACGCGCTACTTAACTAAATAGAAATAAGTAATTAAATATTAACTAGCTTTTACCTATAGACTAACGGCTAAATAGAATAAATAAACTAAACTCTAGAAGAGTACCTAAGAAACTACGTTAACTAGAAATAAGATAACTAGGTTAAGCTACTACCTATAGTATAATTAGCATATAATATAGTAAAATAAGAAACTATAGAGATAACTCTCTATTAAGTATATTATAGCTATAAGGCTAGAATATATAGATTCTTAATATATATAGCTATAATTTTCTTAAAGATAGAGAAAAAGAAGTACTAAATAAGAATAATCTATAATAAACTATAAAAAATAGTAGAAAGAATAACGTAATAAGTAAATAGAAAAAGAATTAAGAGACTAACCTTTAAGAAGAGAGGTAAAGTTTTTATTTTACGAAAAAACCTACGTACTAAATAACCTAGTAAGAAACTTAACTACCTATAAATTAGACTCTTTAAAATAGATAAATAACTTAGACCTATTAGCTTTAGGCTAAGGCTACTACTAATAATAAGAATATACTTTATATTCTATAAGTCTAGACTTAAGCTAGCGCCTAACAACGTACTACTTAATAAGTAAACTAAGGTAGAACTAGACTAGAACTATAAGGTTAAAAGAATACTAGATAGAAAGCGTATATAAGGTTAGTAGAAGTACTAGATTAGGTAGAAAGAATATCTACTAGAAGAAGACACCTAGGAACTACTAGAAAACCTTAAGAACTACTCTAAGAAACTTAAGAAGTTTTATTAGCGCTACTACCTCTAAGGCCTAGAGACTAGAACTCTAGATTCTCTAGACGACTCTAGTTAAATAACTAAAGAGAATTAACTAAAGAAATAAGAGGTTATAGTTGTAAGAGCTACTATACCTTCTACTCTAGCTACTCTAGCTTCTTAATATTAGTAAGGTTCTTTAAAAGCAGCGCGTCGCGACGCTACTATACTAGCTCTAGCTACTTACGCAGGCGTTTACTATAAGTATTAGTAGACTACTAGAACTTACGCAGAGACGCCTTCTAACAACCTAGCTTAGCGTAAGAATAGTCTATCTCTATATAAAGGCGAGTCTCTATACGCGCTAACTTAACCTATTAGGTCTTAGTAAGGCGCTCTACCTTAAGACTAGCCTTAGACTACTAAGAGCGTAGATTAGCCGCTAACTAATCTAGCTTTTCTACCTCTTTCTAGTCTAATACCTTATTATAGAACTAACTCTTTATAATACACTCTAAATAGTAACTAGAGAATACCTCTATAACGTAACGTAGGTCGCGAGAATAGTAAGTACTGTAAGAGTTGTTAGATATATTAGCGCTAGTGCGCAGAATAAGGTTAGCATAATAATAATAGTAAACTATTAAAAACTTAGTACACGTAGGCGGCATAGTAAGAATAGAAGAGAAAGAGAGAGTATAATACTATAGAATTATAGATAGTACTACTCTTATATAGAAATAATATAGAATAATAAAATACTATATCTAGAAATAGAATAAAGCTTTAGAATAATACTTTAGAAGAAGAGGTAGGTGTTATAATTATAGGATTAAGAATAGAGCTAACTAGCTAGAATAGAGAAAATAGTAGGCTAAGCCTAAGGTTATAGAATAAGAGATTACGTATAGAGTTATAGAAATAATTAGAGTTACGTAATATAAATTAGATAGATTAGATAGCTTAGAATCTAATCTAAGAGATTAGGCTCTAATTTAAAAGATCTATAGAAGCTAGAGACTTAGCGTCTAATCTAGCTAAGAAGGCATATATATATAACTAGAAGAAGCTTACTTCTTATAGCTTCTTATAGTTATTACTTTATTTATTAAATTACTACTATAACTTATAATTTATAGTATTATTACCTCTACCTCTTTATTACTAAAGATTCTAGTCTAAAGTACACCCCTTACCTCCTCTTACAAAAGTAAGCCTTAGTCTTAGTTAAGAGAATAGCTCGTAACACTATAATAGTCTAGCTTAGTATTTGCTAGAGTTATATAATCTCGTCTAGCGCCTTAGCACTTAGCTCTCTATATATAGAGAGCTCTTAAAGTCTTCTTCTACTTCTTATCTTTAGATAGCTAAATTTAACTTAACCTACTCTACTTAATATACTTTATAAGTAAGCTAGTTATATAAGAAAGCTAGTTACTTTTACTAAGTCTTTACTAAAAAGCTACTATCTTAGTTAGATTACTCTAACTCTAAGCTACTTAAGATAAATCTAGATAAGCTATCTAACTTATCTATATTATCTTTAACTATCTAGTATATTTATATATTATACTCTAGCTTACTATAGCGTCTATAGTATTACTAAGCTAGCTAGCTATTATATACTACTACCTCTTTATACTACTTTTTACCTTTATTCTAATCTATAGCTTCTCTTTAAGTAACTAGCTATAAGCTAGCTTTAATTATAAGAGTATTCTCTTTCTAATAATTTTAAAATAGTTTTAGTATCTTTATAGCTTTCTATACTATACTACTAAAAAGACTTTACTTTTAAATAACTACTTAAAGCTACTATATTATTAGGTAATAAGCTCTATATAGTTAAAGTCTACTATAGTTTATATAATAATAACTTTATATAGCTAGATTACCTATATATATATATAGTTAGAAGAGAAAACTCTAGAGAATATATTTTTTTAACTTTAATCTCTTATTACGCTATACCTAGAAGAGCTAGCGCTATAGAAGTTTTCTAGAAATCTTTATTAAGTTATAAATACTATATACTATAAGTTTTATATATTATTATAGAGATATAATACTACTAACTAGAAGTAAACTAGATTTTTTCTTAAAAGTTAGTTAAATACGTATAGCTTTTTAATTACGTAATATATCTTAGTGTAACTTTAATATAAGGTATAAAATACTATAAAGAATATATATCTAAATTTTTTTAGAAAAGTATTAAGGTTTCGCTTAGTTATATAAGAAAAACTTATAAAGTTCTATTAATTTTTCTTATAAAGAAATTATAGGTTATTTAATAGAGTAACTAGTTTAATAGTAAAGTACGTTATTTAGTAGAGACTTAGTATTTTTAGATTATTTAATAAGGTAACTAGTTTAATAGTAAAGTATGTTAGTATCTCTAATTTAATTTATAATATAATTTTATTACGTGGATAAGTAGGCTAAGGCTCGTGGCTGGTGACTCTGTGGCGCTACACCCCACCCAACCTGTGGCTGACGTGAACGCGGAGGCTCTTGAGTCTGCGCATGGGCCTCGAAGAGCGCCAACACCTGTAACCTCTTCCTCCAACGACGAGCGCGCCATCCATCTGGCACCCGCCTGCCACTCCTGAACGCGTGCGACGAATGCAAGCGGGCTCGCAGCATTCGACAGACACTACATTAACGCCATCTCTATACACCTACCTGCAGACAGCCATATATCTCTAGGCCGTTACCTCCACCGCTCTCCAAATTCGTCAGCGGCTGATAGCACTATCGGTCGCGTGTGCAGCACACGCCTGCTCCTATACCGAGAACGTTAACGAGCCTCACCCTCTGCGTTACGGGCAGTATTCGCATTATATTGCCGGCGTCGCTTCCACAAACCCCTCAAGCTGCGCCCTTCTGCCCCTCCTTCCTATACTCGCTCCTCGTATACCCTCGACGACGCCCTCGATCCGTCCTCTCGAAACGACTCCATTTTCATCCGCTGGCTGCGCTGCACTATACAGGTCAGGTGCTCTCTCTTGACACGGCTTCGCTTTTCAGTCTCGAAGTTCCCGGGTCCTCAGTCTGCCTCGATACCATGACACGCGGGACGCTCTATCTTCCTTCAGGCACATCTTCTTCCGACATTATCGGTGGAGGGACCTCTGGACTGGCTATTTTGTATCCAGGCACTCGGACGGTGTTGAAGATCTCCCATGGTGATCCTGATGAGGATGCCCGGTGTGAACTCGAGGCTCAAATATACGATCTTCTCAGCAAATCTCAACTTGCACGGCCATCGTCACTGTTAGAGTACAAGGGCAGAAGTTCATGTGGCCGTGGGATACTCCTTGGCTATGCGGAAAATCATACAGTGCGACGATACCTTCGTTCACACGGCACTCAACCTCCAGATACAACAGTCATCCATCGTTGGGCTAATCAAGCTGCCCTTGCGCTTCATTTTCTTCATATGAATGGCATCTCACATGGAGATGTCACTTGCGACAACTTCTTTCTCGATAAAGATCTCAATGTCCAGCTAGGCGATTTCACAAGTTCATCTTTGCACTTGGGCTTAGCTCAAATAGATGACGACATGTTCGAGCTTGGACTTGCGCTCTATGAGATGTGTACGGGTGTTCAGCCTTTCAAAGGCTTATTTTTCACTCTAGAGGAGAAGCGCGCAAAATTCCTCGAGGGCATCTCACCCAATCTATCGGAAGTGAAATGTAGGGAATTCGGGAACATCATTTCAAAATGCCTTATGGCACAATTTAAAGACACAGAAGAATTGTTGCGTAATTTGCCGACCTATAACCAGGAGTAAATCGCTCTCAATATCACCGACAATTTCAATCTACGTACTCCCATCGTGCAACTGTTTGAATACCTGGGTATCTTAAATTAGACCATTCCCGTCTGCTATGTGCAAGGGCTCCTTACAGTATTCGCCGAAAACCATGCAACTATGTCCAGGCGGCTACTGGATTTACTGGTTTTTAGCTATCCTATGTTAGCCTCGACTGATATAGACAAATAGCTTCTCTCCCTACCGCATTCCCAACAAGTCCCTGGGATAGATGTGGATCCAAATTCCCAAGGGATCCTGTTAAGTAGGGGACACATAGGCTGTCCCTCTTCTGTAACCTTTTTACATGGAATATCTTTTTCTTTCTTAGAGGTGTGCTTTGCACCAGTATTCTTGCAGTCTTTGTAGATGACGGTGTACTCATAGTAGTCACACATCTTGGATAAGAGGTGCCGATAGTCGGACAAGATATGAGAGAGAGGAGGTAAGTGTGATACTGGATCGCGCAAGGCGTCTACTTTGTGCCGGACGTTCGTGCTTGAGGAGGCAATGGTCTCTCGTTAGACAGCGAGGTGAGATGCGAAGGCAACCTCGACACGGTAATCCGAATGCCGATGATTACTCGAAACAATGAAAGCTTTCCCCGATCTCATGAAGCTAGTCGTTCAGCGGCAGGTTTGGCGTTGAACAGAGCATTACAGTATTCGAGCTCCACGGTTGCGTGTCTCAGGTAATTTTTGAAGTGTATAAAGACTTGTAGAGCAGCGAAGCAGAGGAAACTAACCACGCCAGAAATACGTCGCTCGCCAGCTCATCCCACACGATCAATCCACCACAGGCCCCCTTACCCTCGATATGGCAGACCTCATCCAATTCCCAAGGGGATTTGGACAACAGGACATTGTCGCCTGGGGCACGACAGGCTTGGTGTGCCTTGATGCGGCCTCACAGACTGTCATAAAGACTCCTTACGATGATGACAATTACGGCAGAGTCCAGGTGGAGAAGACGATATACGAGCGGTTCGACCAGCGAGGCGGGCATAGGGGACTCCTGCGATACTACGGTCCGTACGATTCAGGCATTCGTCTCGAACTCGCTCCAAATTGGAACCTCTCATCATTCCTTCACAAACACCCTGAGATCGGATTTGAGCAGACTACGTTGGGCGCGTCAGGTTACAGACGCTCTCTGTTTTGTTCATGCTGCAGACGTTATTCATGGAGACCTGACTCTAGACAACGTCTTCTTGACCCAGGACCTTGACATAAAGCTTGCAGATTTCGGTGGCTCTTCTCTGGACGGCTCTAAGCTGCTGGTTTCAGTACGCGCCAACCACCGATTCCCTGGACCCCTGCTGTCTACCGATGCCGACATCTTCTCTCTTGGCTCTGCGCATTACACTATCATGACGGGAAAACTACCATATCAAGATCTATCCGAGAAAGAGATCACGGCTCTGTTTAAAGAGGGCAGATTTCCCGAAACAGACACACTTGGACCATTTGGGGCGATTATCAGAAAATGCTGGCAAGTCAAATACAAGAGCGTTGTCGACGTGTACAAGGATATCGAAGGTATGATTCTAAGATTGGACTAGTGTTACGCGAGGTCTCAGGCTTGGCATTCCCGTTGGTGCCTGTCACCCTGTTCACGGACTTCCTGGTTGCCGATAAACTCAGCGGCAGCACCATATAAGCGCTGTGTTCCTCAGGGCTTTAAATGGACATGGCTTGCGCATCTGCGCAGGCGAAGAACGGTACGAAGCGTGTTCTCGTCGTAAGCGCAATCATTGACGGCATCAAGGGAACCGCACAGCTACGCGACGTAGTGATCGAACAGCGACTGGAACGCAAGAGGTATGTTTGCACTGGCCTTCGCTACAGGTCGCGATCTGACATAGCGCTCAAATCCTTAGCAAGTCGAGAATCGCGCTAGGAGAAAGCGCACTCTCGATTTTGAGAATTCTCCGTCAAACGAACCAGGGAAGCGTCCACGAACCCAAGCCCTCCCAGCGAAGCCTTATGCGAAACCAACGCGATCTTAAGAAGAAGACACACCGGCGTATTCTTCGCAAGAGCCGCCCTCGAAACGACCCCGAAAGCTCCGCGACCGAGTTGAACTGCCGAGGGGTACACAACCATCACGCCTGTCTCAGGAGCCAACTGGGCACGGTGAGATCGCTCATTGGGTTCAACATCATACCTGGCGGAGCGAAGACGACAACATGAATCATCTTCTCGCGAGGAAAGGGTCCTCGGCATCTCTTACCCAGAAAAGGTCAAACCTAAGTCTGGCCAGCGACGAGAGACCGCGTGAGGAGAAGAGTGCTCCATATCGAAACCCGAGCTATCCCACTTTCCTATCTGAGGATGTGCGTGACTACAAGAGCTACATACAGGACTACGATGACGGGATATCAGATGCTAGCGAAGAGCTTTTAAAGAGGCTGCTCGAGACGGAACAGACGGCTCCGAAGGACACGCTCTTCAGCGACGACATTTTCCAGAAGCACCTCCAGAAATTGAAAGGGAAGAACGAAGCAAGGATTATTCAAGACCTCTCTCCACACCTTGTGCCCTCTGCCGAAGCCCTCGCCACCTTTAGAGCCCGTCATCTCGACAGCGTCGTCGAAAGTGTGAATAAGGGATGGAATAATTGCATCCCTGTCACGAAGCCCTGCCCACAGCCAGACAGTGCATTTGGCTGTAGGTCGACCGCCTTTTTGGACGCCCAGCTCGAAAAACTTCGGCCCTTCCTAGGCGACGCTTTATTCTCTTTATACTTCAAGGCCACCTATTACATGTACTTTCCGTTCCTGGTAAAAGAGGTTAAGACTAGCGTTATAGGACTCAATATCGCGGATAATCAGAACGCCCATAGTGCCACAGTGGCTGTCCGAGCTGTTGTGGACCTGTTCAAGCTTGCGGGTCGCGAGAAAGAGCTGCACCGACAGATTGTTGCCCTGTCTATCTCTTACGACGATAAGTTAGTACGGCTTTATGCACACTATCCTTACATTAGTTAGGACAAGGTCACTATCTGGCGTCGCACAATCGATCAATTTTATCTCGATCCTAAAACGAAATGGAACTCACGGACATTCACACTTAATGTTTTTAACATCTTCTATCCAATGCATCGAAAGCGAATTTGTTCCGTTATTAATGACATTGGCCTGGCCTCCCTCAGGCAATCCGTTTCGCAAAACTTGGCAGTGTTCTGAACGCGGGGGTTTAACCTCAGCAACGTCTGGATTATCTCAGCATTTCGAGCAACAACGTCTGAACGAGGACATTGGGGAGTCTCAGCAAATTACTCTAGACACGTTATCCCAGGCTGAGCCAAAGAGCCCTCAGAGGAAGAAGAAGAAAGGTCGCGCCGGCTCCGCAACCAACAGCTAGGGGTGTCCGACCGTGGAGACATGAGAACAACGCGCCAAGCATGGTTGAAAAAAATGGTTTCACTATCTGCACCGTGTACATAGCCTTCGTGACGTTGGAATAAATCTTCGCTATGACAAGCCTGCCTCGTCCCCCCTCACCGTTAGCCCTGCCCTTGCTCGCCGCACCCCCACGAGCTTTGCCGCTATTTAAGAGATCTTCGTCTCAGGAGGAATCAGAGGGTGGAGCCTTTTGACGAATGCGAGACTGCGGGGTTCCGTTCTCCGTTGGGTCGGGCTTGCGATAGAGGACGGAGGAAAGAATGGTATGTAGAAATGACTGCTCAGGACGCCTGCAGGGCCAGATCGAGGCAGAATATCCTTGGGCTTCTGGGGTCGCTTGGGATGCATCGAGATATTTTACCGAGGCCTTGAAGTCCCTGGTAACTAGAATACCAGCCTGGGCTCATTAGCTTTCATTCCAGCTTTCTAGGCAAAGCGTACCAGGGGCACCGGAGACACTCTCTCAACGTCGTCTTGCTGGAGTGCAATGTGTGACGCATTGCGCAGCCGAAGAAGCATCCAAAGAAAACAGAACACAACGAAGGCGACACAGTAGGTAGCGGACCGCGATCCCAGAACGATATGCTTCCAATTATCCATAGACGGCGCCATCTAATGGTAGAATAGATGGATAGAGCCAATGAGATCGGTGAGATCGGTGAGCACGGGATAGGCAAAGACAGCAGGATGCAGGCTACAGGCAAAGACGTGCAGGAAGGCAACTGAGGGACGTCTCAGCCTTGTGAGGGATGACGAGCTGCTTGGCGGGTTGCTGAGTCAACCGATCCGAGACTTAGCCGGCCGATCCCCTCATCCTACTGCGTAGTTCATCAACACCGCTCCTCAACCGCATTCTCCTCCTTACGCGGCCTCAATGCTGTATCTATACAGCCTTCATCAATGTGTAATTCTGTGTCGGACAATTCACCAGTAGATAACCGTGCGACGAACCCCGGACGCGCACAATACGTTACACCACCATCGAGCTTCATCGGGCCTCTCACCCCACCTGCGACTGACGAAAGGTTCCCTCAGACCGAACGTATCCTCGCGCACTTCAGAGATATCCAAAGCGGACATCGAAAACTCTGTGGAGAGCAGACGTGGATCCAATTTTCGCTTGCGGACGGTGAGTTCGACGAGATAGAGCGACGCCTCGAGGGCGATCCAGACTTAAATAGATACGTTCGGGACAAGATCCGGTGGGTAGTCTTTAGTGCAGAACGTAGGAGAGGCGTGCTCACCGTGTGCGCAGATACGATTATGACGACCGAACACGGCATTTCGTTATTCGGATGCTCAGCGACATCCACGAGACCTTTCGCGAGGCATTGCACCAGGAGATCTGGAGGTGGATAAACCGGCTCGCTGCAAGACAGGATAATGTTGGTTATTTGCTAGAGGGATGGCGGACACGGAAGGAGCACCTTCGTACAAGTTTCCCCCTATAGCTCCTGATACGGATTCTAGCATCGATCCCGATACCCCTGCCGAGGTTGATGCTGCACAAGCAACCCATACACCCGACATCCCCTTCCGTCACGAGGAAGACGCATTACCTGGCACAATTATCGAGGTGGCGTATTCCCAAGCATCTAAGGATCTCCGGAGGCTGGCCTACGCCTATTTGGTGCATTCCAATGCGGCAGTACAGGTGGTTTTCGGCTTTGATCTCAAAGACGGGCCGACCGGAAAGGCAACGTTCTTAGTCTGGCGGAGCAAAGACGAGGGTGACGTGCTGAGCATGGTCACCAAGTACTATCAACATGTATGCAATGATCTTCGATTAATTTTCTCATTACTAAAACGTACTAGGAATTCCGTGGTATGAACGGAGAACCTACTAGTCACGATCCGCTATGCTTCCGACTCAAGGACTTTGCAATGGACGAGACTGCAAAAGAGATACTGGGTGATGATGATGCGGAGCTCTCCATAACTATGGACCAACTCTGCGCCTTCCTATCAAAGGCAGAGAAGAAGGTAGAGGATAAGAAGAGGGGGGAATTGCGGATCAAGAGGACTGTTGTGGGCAAGAGAAAACTGCCATTGGAAGAGATCTTCGGCTGACCAAGCGATCCCTTGCTTCACTCCCCAACCCCAACGCCGCCCGAACACCACACGAACTTCCAAACTCTTTCATTAGACTACTCCCACTCCTACTGACCCCAGACAATTTGGCCATCAGCCGGCCTCTCAAGACTATGATACTTGCCCATCAGCTCCTACAACACATTCTCTAACACGTTGTTTAGCCCGCTCTTAGCCGCGCGCTCCCTTAGGCCCAAGGCCTCCAGGTGCGCGACGCCTTCCTCGGTCCAATTCGTGCCTTTGGCATTCACGCTGCGCGTCAGTTTCTTTGCTCTGGCCTCGTCGAGATGTTCGTGCAGAAACGGCAACGGTCCGAGCCCGAACTTCGCCGCGAAAAAGGCGTACTGACTGCCGATAGTGCGCCAGTCTTTGAGCTTCAAGCCGAATTCCTCGAGCGTGATGGGCACCATCGGCGTTGATGTCGCGCGCGAGGGTTCAGGTCGATTACGTCCGCTGTTCGGCGGCGTCCGTGGCGACGCATGAGATCCAGATCCAGACGCGACAACCGGAGGCAGCACCGCATCGTCCCGCTCTAACGGCGCCAACACCCACTTGTTGTATACCGACACGATATCGTTGTCTGTCAGACGCTTCATGCGCTTCCCCTCTCCACGGTCGCAGAATGTTATCTAGTCGCCAGGATTGCGAGAGCTCGCAATGTAGAAGAATATTATCATCACCGCGCGTCGCAGCCAATCCTGCTTCACGCGCCGCTGCAGCGTCAGCATGACTTGCACGTCGGACCCGTACATGTCGGCGTTGCTGCTCGTGGGCATGGGGGCGACCGGTGCGATGAGGGTGCCGATGTCGAGCCAGAAGTTCAGCGGTTGCGTTGGGAGGTCTTGAAAGGCGGCATCGAGGGTGAGCTGGGTCAGTTCGCGGAAGGGCTTCCTCTTCCCTTTCCATTCTTCTCTTTCGCGCATAGGAAGATGACACAGCGCTCTCCCTTTCCATGTCGGTGTCTGTATCGGTGTCGGTTTCGGTACCGCTGCTGATGTACACGACTTGGCGCTCGCCTCGGACGGCGCCCCCGGCCGCAGCTTCCATCCTGCTCACCACTGGGGTATGTCTCGTAGCCACCGAGGTGGACTTGCGTTCTAGTCGGGCTGTTCTGAAAGCAAGAGGAGTTGAAGTACGTCTACGGAATCGATCGGATAGGAGTTCGTCTGTTTCGTCTTCGACGCTGGCAGTATCGTAAGCCACGACATCCGCCCTAGTTCTACAGTTAGTACTATGCCGGCTTGATGGGGGTCCAACATACACCTCTGGCTCAGCGTCGGAGGCGTTGCCATTTTCAGGAGAATAGCAGGCTCGGGCTGTAAAGCCCTTCTCGGACTCTTCGTTGCTTAAGCCTGAGAAGGCCGTTTCGTGAAATCGTCCTCCCAGGTTCAAGCCAGATCTCTCGTTGCCGTTTGCTCGGGCTCCTCCGGTTGGCGGAGACGACTGGGAAACAGCTTCTTCACCCTCTTCATCAATGACATCAAGCATGTCGGCATCCTGGACTTCTTCTGCGCCGGCTGAGGGAGATCTTGGAGGAAGATGAGGGCTTTCAGGATTAAGGCGGGCCGAACGTCGAACGCCGCTCTTTTTAGAGGATGTGCCTGCCGCTAAGAATGTGCCCGCTATTTTAGGCGGCCTACCGCGCTTCTTTCGAGGTGCGGTATCCTCTGGAGGCTCACTGGACTGCTTTCGAGCCCTTCCGGACTGCTTTGGAGGCATGCCGGAAGTCAGTGGGAATCGCGGTGTTACTGAGTAAAGAGCGTTTGTGTGACACTTCTGCCTACCTAGCTGTCATAGCGCGTTTGTGCGACGTTCGTCCTCGTCTTCTTCAACTCCAGCTTCGATGCTACGACATACTACTAGCTCTATATCAAGAGCCCTTTCTCAATTTCGAATTACACCGCTAATCGTTTCTCCCGAGCACTTCGCCGCTGCTCATCATGAGCAATACGCGCTCCAACTCAACGGCCTGAAGCTCCAACTCCCTCTCGAACCCGCGCCGCGACACGATCGATTACTTCCGCGAAACGAACGCCGTCCTCAATAAGCAAAATGCGAAATTCCTCGACCGCTACGAAGGCGCTCTCGCCGAACTCGAAGCCGCCAGACGAGCACACCGTGCGGACGAAGAACAATACCACCTTGCCATTTCAAAGCTCGAAGACGCCGCACGCGTACGGGACACAGAAATAAAGTTCGTAGTCTCGCTGCTGGACCGCGATGCCCAGGAGATTGTGAGCGATACAGAAATCGGGGCTGGGATTGACAAGTGGGTAGAGCAGCTGAAGGGGAAAGCGGCCAGGGCGGCTGAGAATGCGCTGCAGAGGGAGATACAGGTTGGGAAGCTGAGGACACGATTAGAAGATGCGGAGGAAGCGAATAGGGAGACGGTGCGACGGCTTCAGGTTAAGAAGGCGGAGATTGCGGAACTCAGGAATGAGCTTCGGCGGAAGGAGAAGGAGTATAAGACGGGCCTTGCGGCGAGGGACGCCGAGATTCCACGGCTACAGGCTCGGTTTGAGGAGCGAGATAACAGTGAGCAGGAGAATGAACGGCGTGCGGAGCTACAGCGTCAACTTCTAGTCAAGGAGCAGACATATACGAAAGATATGGCGGAGAAAGACGCAGAGATCGCGCGGCTACGGCGTCGAAACCAAGAGCGAGACAACAGTGAGCCAGAGAATGGACGGCTTGCGGATCTGCAGCGTCGTTTTCACGACGGGAAGCGGATGCATATGGAGGATATGGCGGGGAAGGATGCCCGGATTGAACAATTCTGTGGTCTTCTTCGAGCACGGCAGGACCAACATGCGAGAAACGACAATACTGCTGAACTACGAGGACGAATCGAGGAGCTGGAGAGCACGCTGCAAATCCAGCGGGAAGAATCCACGCGAATCGCCTCTCGCGCCGAGCATAATGCCACCAATCTCGCAGCCAGAAACACGTCGATCCGCGAGATCGCATACAAACTCATCTCCATATCTCCAGAGTTCCATCTCGACGCCTCGGCCCTCAACCAGGCCATCAACGATCCTGTCGGTAAGTTCCCCTCCACCCCCATACCATCTCTCTGCCACTCCTTATCATCCACCCACCCCATCATCCTCAACCAACCAACCAACTAACCAAACTGCCCACACAGCCCTTCCCCGACTCCTCCTCCCCCACCTCTCAACGCTCCACACCCACCACCTCAACCTCACAACCCTCGCCCGCGACCTAAACGCCAGCCTCGTCCAGCACGCCGACCTGCTCTACGCCGTCCGCGACGACGCGTCGCGTCCCGAAACCCTATTCGTCGACGCTCGGGACGCGACTATCTTGCGCCCCGACTTCACGATCTGGCAGCTCAAGAAGCAGAAAGCGGCGTGGCGCTACGCGAGGGTCGTCGGCATGTGGAGCGCCGTGTTCGGCACACTGCACGTCGGTGCGTCGGTCTCATATGGCGTTCGCCTGAACCACTACTCCAGTTCTGGTTCCGGTTCCGGGTCGGCGGCGGCGGCGGCGGCGGAGGGACGCGTGGAGCAGCTACAGGTGGATGACGAAGGTGGGGATGAGGCCGGTGTCACGGTTGATGGGGCTATGAAGGTCAGCCCGGCTTTGTTGCGGAGTCGGTGGGGACGGCATGCGAATTTTGCGCAGGAGATTCAGATAGGCTGTGAAGCGCAGCGGCGGAGGGGGAGGGAGGAAGAGGGGGGGGGGGCTGGGGGGGGGGGGGGGGGGGACGTAGATGTGCATTGAGGGGAATTAATGGACTGGACTGGGCTGGGCTGGACTGGCTAGAACAGAACAGGGTGGGAGGGGTTCAAGGAGGGACGGAGAATGACCGTGGATATGAATATGGATGGAGCGTAAGGTGAAGTGACGGGGATGCGACGAGATAAGTATCATTCTTTCTAAGGGTGGGGATGTTATTGTCGTGTCATGTTGTGCAGGGTATCCAGACCTTGTGGAAGACGTAATTATCGCCCTGCGAAACTGGGGTTCAAAATTGGGGTTCAGAATGCAAAACTCCCCATGTCCATTTTCTAATTATGTGGCCGTGTCTACGTCTGGGGTATCGCATCGTATCATATCATATCCATAGTTCTCGTAACGCCGACGGCGGACTAATATCCCCTCTGAAGTTCCTCCAGTATATCACCATCATGCCATGCCATGCCGTGTCCCAAAGCACCACCATATGTCCAACCCAATCCATAACTTCATTCCCTCTGTTCTCGCCCTGGGGTATCACATCGTATAACCAACGCCGACCATGCCGTATGCCGTATTGTATGCCCATCAGAAAGCGCCGATGCTGAACTTGGACCTTCCGAGCGTATGCCATTCCCCCATGAAGTCTCCGTGAAATATCACCATCGTGCCATGTCATGTCCCAAAGCACCATGTATCTAACCCGAGCCGTACGCCGAGCATGCTGTATGCAGTACGCCCATTGGAAAACGCCTTTGCTGGAATCGATCGGACCTTTCGTGTCGTGTCCAAAAACACCGAATGTCCAACCCAGTCTGTAACTCCACGCTCCTGGTTCTTGCCTTGGGGCACGACATCGCGGAAACGTCGGCGGCGGGTCCGGAACATTGCTTCTGGCTCTCTTCGTCGTCCGCATAGACGGGCTTGTCGTCGTCGGCGTCCAGGTTACCCGCTGGATTGGGACCTTTGGGCGTGGCGGAGGTCTCGGGGTCGGGAAGGGCAGCCGTCTCGTAACCAAGGCCTGGCGCTTCCTCTTTCGGAGAGGCAGTGTCGTCGTCCCTGACCGCGAGTGATATGTTGCCATGCCATTCGGGGCTGCCGTCAGCCGCAGATGCGATCAAGTTCCAAGGTTGCGATGGCGTGTATGCAGGAACACTGGAGCCTTGTTGACGAAAACCTCACCTAGCCTTGCTAGCGCGGCTCTGTGCTCACGTGACTGCGCCACACCCGTGGGCTCGCCGACAACCTTTCGACCTGAATACAACCTCACCTCAACGGCTCCCTTCGCTTCTCCGCCCTGAACCCCCCATCGAAGGCTTCATCAGCGTCGTCGGTGAAACCGTCATTGAATTGTGGTGCAAAGCGTGCGCTTGTCGTGCCGAGGAAGGTGGGTGTGGGTGGGGTATCTCCGGTGGAGCAGGCGGGTAGTGCGCGGAGTACGACTAGTAGAGCGAAAGACGGAGCGACGAGTGGAGGAGGCGGTGAAGAGCGGAAGGGGAGTGGTATTGGCCATGTTGGAGACGGTGGGGCGGGAAAGAAAGGTGTTGAAGTAACGAAGTGGAGTGTAACATTGTTGATTGCAAAGAGCTAAAAGCTCCGAGTATATACACTAGGCTAGCGCGATCACGTGATCAACACGTGATCCTCAACAGTAAAATAGTCCTCCTACCAGGTGCCCTGGCGGTCACTTCCGCCAACAAAAGAAAGGACGGGAGCAGATGGCGGAGATCGAGAAGATTGGGATGGTGGCTGGTGGGGCGGACAGGAGCGTGACGCTGCGCGAGAAGAGCAGCGCTGTGGAGGCACGGGAGGGTATTTTGGTGGTGGCGGGGACTGGGGATGGGTTCGCTGAGCTGGAGTGTGGGGAGCAGGGGGGTGTACGTCCGGACGGAACGCCGGGATGGAGAACGTTTGAGACTGGAGTTGAACTTGCTGGGTCTCGCGGCGAGCTGATGCTTTCGGGTTTGGCTTCTGGAGAAAGGGTTGGACGTCGATGCGAACGCCGGAGCTCATGTCTCTCCGTTCAGGATCGAGCGGGTGGTGGAAGATGAAGGGGAGGGAGAGGAAGCTCGTCGTCGGAGCGGTGGAGGAATCCCAACCGCGAAGAATGATTCGACGGCGTCTGTCTGTGCTGCCGACTCATCAAAAGCAATCAGAAAGGCTTCCAAGCCCACCAAGGCGGAGACTCGCTCTTTTGGCCGCCATCTGCAATACCAACCACCTCCACACCTCACTCCACACTCAAAGATCCCCATCAGCGTCAGCTCGCCGCCCCCAATCCCACCCCACCATCCACGCCCGCGCATCTCCCAACGCGTCCCGCAAAACGCCACTCCCTCCCCGCTCCTCCCTGCACCGCAACCGAACCCCTCTCCAAACCGCAAACCAGCTCCTCAGGATCCACGCCCTACACGCAGCCCACCGCCTTCGTCCCCTGCATCCGCCACACGCACCACTCCCACTGCGACACCATCACCGTCGAAAACGAGCGGCTCAAAGACGAAATCGCCGTCCTAACCCAGACGAACAAGTTCATCCACGATGCGTTCGATGCGGAGAAGAAGAGGTTGGAGGGCGTGGCGGAGCGGCTGCGGACGGATGTGCGCATGCTGACGCGCTTTTGAGGGATGGGGGGATGCGTGATGGTGATGGGGATGGTGAGGGCGTCGGAGTGAGGCAGAAGATGCAGAATGAGGCGACGAGGGAGATGGTGGATGCGTTGTCGGGGTTTCTTGAGGTGTTGACGGCGGAGGGGGGAGAGGATGATGCTGATGCTGATGCGGATGCTGATGCTGAGTTGGGGGAGGGGTGGGATAAGCTTGTGCCGACTCCTTTGTTTGAGAAGGGGTAGGAGGAGTGGGAGTGGGTGGTGCTGGGTTGTTGGGGAAGCATGGAGAGGTGTCGCGGGAGGAGTAGTCGGTATCGAGTAGGTGGAGTATCACGTACCTGGATACTGATGTGCCGCATGTCTGCATTTTCTTTCCGACCCTCCGAATAATGAAAAACAAGTCCGCGTTGAGCCGCGTTAACATGCAAGGCTGACTGAGAAGTGTGCGGCGAGTACATGTTCGGCAGTGAGTGCCACAGCGTCTTCTACATGACGAACTCCCACACAAACCGTAGTTGCGTTCTCGCTCTCAGAGGAACTTGCGAGCGAGTCCGAGGTGCTCGGCCGGTCCGCAGTCACGCAGCATCCCTTAAATCGAGCGCGATCTCCTGGACATGCAGCCACTCACTGGTGACGACGTGGGCAGGTTCAAGGCAAGCGAGGAGTCGTGAGTGGGAGACGTTGTCGTAGGCGCCGCAGACGTCGAGTAGCAGGAGGCTCGCCACTTGGCCTTTCTTTCTATTCCATGCTTCATGTATCTTTCCTATGATGATGTGGAGCGCGTGTTCGGTGGACCGCATCTTCCTTCCTCCTATGTGTCTTGCCGGGAGCATCTGATGGGCTTCCACCAGGTAGCTGAGCCTTCGAGCTATCACCGCTTCCATGATCTTGCCCATGGTGTTGAGTAGTGCAATAGGCCGGTATGCTTTTGGCGTTCTGTAGTCGGCCATGGCCGACTTGCGTAACACGACTGTGGTGGATTCCCGGAAGTGTGCTGGGCTGTATTCTAGCCGTAGGCTTTGGTTGTAGATCCTCGTCAGGTGGGCTGTGATGAGCGGTGCTGCTACTTGCAGGGCCCGGTTTGGAATTCCGTCCGGACCGGGGGCTTTGTGGGGCGATGCTGCGCGGATGGTATCCTCGACTTCCTTTTCTGTTATCGCTGGTAGGTCGATTTGGTCATTGTATTCGGCATCTTGTACGTCTCTCAAGTCTGCTTCCGGCGGCGTTAGGAAGAAGGTCTTCCGGAACAGTTCCGCTTTGTCGCCTGGTGCTGTGACTTCGTCTTGTGTTTCGGGGTGTAGAATGGCTGGAGTGACTCTTGGAGGCTGGTTTTCTCCTGTTCTGGCCCACTTGGCAATTCTCCACAGCGATTCCAGTGATTCTGCCGCTTTCTCGACTCTGTCTCTGTGTGTTTTCCGTAGTGCTTTCCTAATCGTTCTTGCCTTGTGGTTTCTCGCGATTCGGTATGCTTTCCAGGATGTTGCATTGGCTGTATACTCGCTTTAGTCGTTTTGCCTCTCTCAGTACTGTACTGCATTCTTCAGTCCACCCCACTTTAGCCTTGGTCGAGGGGCATGTCCATGGAACCGCTGTGTCTATTGCTGTTTGAATTGCCACCGTTACTTCCTCAACGTATCTGTCTAGTGCTGTCTTCGTGGCTGGTCGCTGACGCGCTGTTTCCCTCGACATAGACGGACACCACTAGGATCGCTCGGTCGTGGAGTCGTAAGAGCACTGCCGTGAGGTCTGCCGACTGCACTGGTAGTTGCTGCGCCTCGATGTCCTTGCGCACCCACAGCATGCTCCGAAACGGCCATCCCTCGTCCCGGCGCGTCGTTGGTGTGAATTTCGTCCAGTTGGTGTGCCCCATCGGGGCTGTGATTATCGTCCCCTCCTCGTTCTTCCATGCATGTGATTCTTGGATCGCTAGTATGCTGAAGTCTTGTTAGCTGCTTATCGTTCATTACGCTGTGCTGCACCATCCGTCGCTTCCCCACGTTGAGTTGAAACACGCGCAGCGGCTTACGCATGGCGGCCTGGGTATAGCACTCTACAGTTCTTTGAGAAGAATTCATGGGCGCCTTCGCACGGGACGCATTTAGGGATTGTCGCTTGGCATTCGCTGTGGTAGTGTCCCTCGCTTGCGCATTTAGCGCAGACCCGTTGCCTCGTGCATGCAAACGCCTTGTGCCCTAGCTGCTAGCATCTAAAGCATTGCACTGGTCCGATCCGTGGTTCGAAAGGTCTCGTGTGTGCTGATTCGCCATCGACATAGAAGTATTGCTCTCTCAGCAGCCGGCCTGCATCACTGCCTTTCGTCATGTACACCACCACCGAGCCATATGCCTTTCCTGAGTCTTTTCGGCTTAGCCAGCTGATCTTGGCAACCTGCACGTCGTTTTCCGTCCCCAGAGCCTCCGCCGCCCCCGGCTGGATTTCTCCCTCCTCTGTGAGGACCGCTAGCCGGTTTGCGTTGTCCACACGGATAGGGTACACCTGGTCGCGTAGCACCCGGGGCCCCCGGGCTACCGTCTTGTGGGCTGCTTCTTTGACCGCCTAGAGTTCGCCTTCATCTCTGCACGTTACCCTGATCCGGTCGATGTTTCTAGGATCTCTAACCACCGCCACGCATCGCCAGTTCGCCCGTTGTTCGTTCACCCGCATCTCTGTCTCGATGGCTTGTCTGATCCTCCCTAGTTTCGCCTTATCTCTGTCTGCCTCTTCGACTCTAGACGTATCGATCGTGCAATAGAATGTGTTGGTTATGGTCGACGGCGTCGTGTTCGCAGAGAGGGTCCGTAGGTTGCTCAGCTAGCTGTTTGGGGCCGTGCGTGCTATATCGGCGTACGAAGGCGAGCCGCTAAGGACCGTTTGCGATAGTTGTGCCTCTAGCCTGTTAGCTAGCGCCTCTACCTACGCCTTTGCTTCTGCCCTGAGCGCCTCCACCTGTGCTTTTGTCTCTGCCTTAAGCGCTTCTACTTCTTAGGTAAACCTCCTTGTCAGCGCTGACGGGTGCTCCCTAGAGAGGGTGTCCAGCTGTGCCTGGAGCGATGCGACCGTTTCGTGTAGTTCTTCATTCTAGTCCTTGAGGAGCTGCTGCTTGGTTTTAATTGCAGTAAGGTCCGTTCGGATGCTCTCGATAATGCTGTTCTGGCTCGCGATGATGTTGCTCTGCTGCCGCATCGTCCCGCTCAGGTTCAGGATGAGCTTCGCGATTTCATCCAGCTTATTGCTGTCGTCTGCTCGCGGATCCCGTTAGTAACGCTGCGCAGTGCAGCAATGAGCAATAAGGAGCAGAAGTGAGTTGCGGGAAGGAGAGGAGGTTAGTAGAAGATGAGTGGGTGGTTTAAAGAGAGATTCGGCAGACGATAGATTTCTGAGGGTAGCATAGAGCTAGCTATGTATTCCGTAGAATATAAAGCACAAAGTCCATATTCTAATCTATAAGATTAAATAAAACGTTCCAATCCAGCCCTGTAATAATGAGTGAAGCGGCCCCTCGTCAGTAATAGTGTAAACAAGGCCAAACGCCCCCCACCGCAGAAACGAGCTCTCACTTCGCCTTTTGGCTCCGCACAACAGGAAATTGTTATATATATATTAATTAAATATCAATCACTTCTAACAAAATCAAGCCATGGCTTAGCGGTCAGTACCCATTACTCCGCTCAAACAAACGAATCGATTCCAAGATAGACTTAAGGTACGTGTAATTTCATTACTCATATACGCCTCCAATTCAAAAATCTACTCATAAGCCTCCGCTACTAAGTAGCGACCTGAGTTCGAGGCCTAAATAATTCTTTTTTTTTTCTTTTGTGCATTTTTCTCCTTATGTTTAGAATACCCAAGGGAGACTTGTAGAATATTTTTGCACCTTTATTTAGGACTACTAGCATGAAATTGGGACGCCGATACATGGTGTCTAGCGAGAGTCTATGGTGGTGGTGATGTTTTTGCACGTATGGTTTCGAAGTGAGGTCGGCACGCTAGGCCTCGGCGACACGGTCGCGCGTCTGGCGGGAAAGGCTAGCGGCTCATCGCTCGGCTCTTCGTCTTGCCATCCGTAGTACGCTGACGCTCCCTCTCCCCTCGGTGCCGCGGGCGGTGTCGATGGGTCGGGCCCAGGGGCTGAGGTCGCCATCGAGGTGCCAGCACGACGTTCGGTAGGCCGCACGGACCGCCTTGCAGCGGGAGCTAGCTAAACGAACGACAGGGAATCGATTAAAAGAATGTCTGGGATGAATATCCTCTTTCAACAATTCGAACTCCTCTAACAGTTCGATAAATGCCTTGGAAGTCGCAAAGTTTGATATCGAAACTTTTGTCGAGAAGCAGGTTTCCTAACCTGATATCGCAGTGAAGGACATCCTTAGTGTGGGCGTATGCCACGGCTTCCGCCGCCTGACGGGCCTACTAGAACCTGTCCTGTGTCGATCCTGCAAACTTCTCTAGATGCTTATCTAGTCGACCATTGTGTACATATTCTAGCCTAAGGCCTTCTTTATCCCACCCTTTCAACTTAATTATCCGTGGGTGAGAGCCGAGTACACCGAGAATTGCAGCCTCCACCTTTAGGCCGCGTTGATCGTGTTGTTCATGCGGATACTTTAGAACGGTATCCTGGTCAATAATGCCTACGTAGCTTGTGGAGCCCGTAGCAATGATTCGTTGGACCCCAGCGGGGAAGAATAGGTATATGAAGGTTGCATCTTCCATTACTGTCTTCCTCGAACTCCAAGCAATGTGGGATCCAATCGTGCAGCGTCTTTAAAGGTAGTATCAGGGTCTACCTGACGAGATAGGAAGCGTATGTCGAAGTCCCGAGGTAGAGGGCGGATGAGGCAGCCGAACGTTTAACTTCGTACGGGGCTTGCTACCGTTCGCATTGCGATGGGGCCGTGGATTCAGTTTGGTTGAGCTGATCGAGCCTCAGCGACTCTGCGGTTAGTCTTGCATAAACGTTAAACCAGAGGCAAGATAGTTCCCTTGTCGAGGTGTGAAGGGCCACTTGCAGTTCGAGAGTGTGTTCTTGAAGTCGAAGCGATGGAATATTGTCGGGCCCGAGCACCAGGTGGTGCGATAATTCGTGTCGGATGAGTCAGCATCCGAACACCAAACAATCCATCTGCCACCGACGCGATGACGAGAACTTTGACGATGTTGTCCATACACATGGCGTCTCCGCGCGTACGGGCGAGAGGTGGAGAAAAGAGCAAGAAGAGACGGGCACACCCACCGCGCAGAGGCGTACGCGCAAGTATAAGGCAGAGCAGAAAGGCACAAAGCTTAGGAGGCCCTTTCGAGTACCGATCGAGGTCCTTGACCAAATGGTGGATGAGAGTAATCCAGTGGCAGAAGAACCGCTCGTTGAACAAGCCCGGCATTTCGATGTACAATTATCAAAGCGTCAACTCCAGTACAACTTAGGAAAGCACAGCGCGAGCCGTTGCAAGTAGACTAGAGAGTGATGATCCATGGGAGGACTGGGAAAATAGTTCTTAGCTGTCACCCTTAGAAAAATTAACACCTTCGCATTTTAACGTATAGGCGAGGAATTAGGGGCCCCTTAATGAAGGGAGAGGATGGATAAAGAGAGTGGAAACGCGTCATGTAGGTGGAGATGGACTGCTCTGCTGGAAATGAACCAAGTAGACTAGTAACTGAAACATTGCGGATATCCCTCCTCAGTAATCAACGGTATTCCATTTGGTTCGTAACCGATATCCAGCGCCGCCATTTCTTGCCTCCCTCGCCCAGCCACCCTTGATCGAAATACACCCACACATTGGGTGGAGTTTGATACTGTGATTTTACAAGTGTCTGGCCTTGGAAACATCGAAACGCACCGTTCGCCCACGACCACTGTTCGCTTTGTGCCGTTGCTACGGAGCTGCTCGGTTGAGCATTTGATTGCTGAGGTGGGCAAGATAGCTCCTCATGGGCGTGTTGTGAGGTCGTCTCATCCCATTCCAAATACGCTCCACTTGCTCCGCCGCTTGATCCTTGCACGCTGTTGGACCTGCTGCTGTTTCTGCGCGACGATGAAGATTTGTGCTTCTTGCTGCTGGCAGTGGCAGAACCATCGGATGGTGGTTGGCGAGACCTCGCATGTTCCGCAGCCTTCTTCCTGTTTTCCTCAAGGATGGTATCCAATGCATCCCTAATCTGCGTCAAGCGTGTGTCCTTTCCCCAGTCGAGAATGTTTCGAACATGCTTGCGAAAGCTCTTGAAATGCTCTGGGTTTGATAGCAGGAAAGCATCAACGCGTTGGAGGTAATAGTTCAAACCGTCTTCCTTCCACGATATATAGAGCTGGGCTGTATCGTTGTCCACGGCAATGCAGTAGGATAAGTTGTCGACACGTTGCACGCTCTGGTGGTCTCGAAGCGAGGTATTCAGCTGGTCGACGGCGTTGAGGCAGGCTGATGAAGCACCCGCACACTGATTTGTAGCAACCCAGAGGTCGCCGCGAGTACCTCCGGCAGCTTTGAATTCGATGGCGAAGAAGGGAAACCTAAGACCCGGTGTTGTCGCTTCCGCAAACCGTGCATTTTGAGGATGTAGACCAGTTTGGGCCAAGAATTGTGGCTGAGTGAAGGCCCCATCCCTGAGTGCGCCGGAGTATCCGTAGAGTAGATTAGGTTTCGGCCCAGAAACCCTAAATAGGCTTTCGGGATTGTTGGGAATGAGATGAGAAGACATCAGGGATGACTTGGCACTTCCCAAGCCTGCCGAGCGCCCGTAGGTGGGGTCCGAGGGCTTTGGAAATACTGTATCTTTGAGAAATCCCTCCACATCCGCCTCAGTGCATCCTTCTGCAAGTGTGCCCAGCTCGTCAAGATATCCATCGATTTGTTGGGAGGACGGACCAGGTGAGTCCCGCTCTGCTCGTAATTCCTCAACACGACTGGAGATATAATCAGGCAGCTGAGTGCGATTATGTCGAACATAAATGCCATTTCTGGTCAAGTTGTTCTGACGATAGGACGGATGGCGAACGCTGGCAGTGCTGGAGGCAGAATCGTCCGTTGCCCGGTATGAACGGGATACAGTAGAAGCCGGTGTCGGCGGCACCACAAACCCATCGGCGTCCCGTGTGCAGCCCATATCCGGCACTGATCTTGTGAACTGTCTCGAAATGGGGACGTCGTCCGAATGGTGCAGATGGCTGTCCGACCGGCACTGTTTCCCTCGGTCCGATCCGACAGACTCGAGCCACTCGGAAACAAAGGTGTGGACGGATGCGGGACCGGGGGCCGGATGGACGGGATCGACAAAGGCTTTGAGGAACGAGGCGTATGGATGCTTAGGATGGTTGGGCTTTGGCTGTTGTAGAGTCGTCTGCACGAGCTGCCCTATTAGTTGTGGACGTGCGTGGGCGATGGTTGTCATACCTTGTCCGCCTGCTCTGCTTTCTCGTCCTCAACTCCAGGCTGTTGCGTGTCCGTCCGTATCAATCGGGCTCTCTTCGCGGGCGACGGATCGCTCTCTGTCACGTCGAGTCGCCTTTTCCGAGCCTGCACCGGTGTCGCGTCTCCGGCGGGATCTCCGCTCTCTGGAGACTGCTCTCGGTAGCTCCGCGGAAGCTCTGTACCTGATGGTTAACAAGTCTTCTTGGTATCCGGGGACGTCGATATGCGCACCTGCAATGTTATCCGCAACAGCGTCCAGCAGCGTTTCTTGCAGGGCCTTGGATAGTTGCACACGAGAGCGGCGGGTCCGCGCCTTGAAGACTCCGCTGTTCATGGCAAGGAATGTGCTGACGCGCGGGGGGATGAGATTTCTATCGGCGCTCAGGCTGGCCGACGGAAAAGGCCTGCTGCGAGCCGCGAGGTCGTTCGTTTCGTCAAAAGCAGCGGCAAAAGAGTTGTTTGGGTCGAGGTGATGTTGGACTCGGCGACACGAAAATCCACACCTTTCGGCAGCAGGGGTGGGGGCGGCACGTGGGCGGCTAACGATTGGCCCTCGCGCTCCCAACATGCGCGCGGGGTTGTCGGCAGAGTTGGGCATCTTGGCCTCTTATTCGCTACTGGCCGAGGATTTTTTTTTTAGGTGGCCCAACACCTCTGCCAGCGCATGTTCGCGCTGCGGCGATGTCTTCCGAGCACCGACACCCAATCAATCTGCATCTATTCCGCCATCGCTGACGCGGCGGAGCCGTTGGCTTCGCCAAACTTTCTTCGGCCGGAGCCATCTCACCCAACCAGACTGTAAACTGTCTATGAATTCCAGTCTTGTTCAGCGTTTTTGCTTCAACCTCCAAGACAACCTCATCCACGCCTCGAACTCGCTGCTGACCAACTATCGTTCACCAAGCTTGAAATGGTTCTTGCTCTTTCCAAGCAAGACTCTCCGCGAGAGCTCTTCCTTTCTTTGGTCACCCCGGACGTAAAGTCTCGTGGAACCTACTACGTCCAGTGCCCTGACTGCAAGAAGGATGTTAAAAAGGGAACTACTTGCTGCGGCGTGCAGCGCGGCATCTTGCCATCCCGTGAGATGCTTCTGCCGCGCGAAGAGGGGAGCTATTAAGCTGAATTTTTAGCAGTTTGCTTTGACGACACTGAAGAGTTGAACCAATTCGCGAGTGGTGATGACGAGCCAGCTAAGGATGTGATGTAGGAGTGCTATGGGGGGTTATGTCAGAATTTGGGAGATGAAGCTGTGGAGATTCCTTTTGGGGAAAGAAAGTGGCTGTCTAGTTTCCAATAGCTTACACTAAATCGACTGCCATTGTGGCCCTCCCTTGCGAAAGGACAGACGAACTCTCAACCTCCAAGATAAAACCGCGCCACCTCCACCTCATTGTGCTCGCTCAACCATTTCAGGCCTTGCAGCCACGTGTTGTTGACCCAATCCTGCCTCATTTTGACGTAGACCAGCGAGCGGAACGCCGCCGCCTCCTTGGAGAAAAACCCGGATTTCGTAAGCAGGTGCGTGGGCCATTTGTTCGCACCTTCGCAATCGTTTCCCGCTTGCTCCCGTCCCACTGCTTCGACAACCTCGGCGAATCGCCGGCCGAGTTGCTCCCGTTTCATCACCGCGGGGTGCGTGTCAACAACTCCAGGGACAGCGCAGCTGATGCCCATCAGAAACGGGAAGCGGTAGAGGGCCGCATCGGGCACCGAGACGACCGAGTCCCAGTCAATGACGGCGAGGACGTTGAACTCCCGATCGACAAGGAAGTTATTCGGATTGAGATCGTAGTTAGCTAGGCCAAAACCCTCGGCGGAGCCATCTCCTACTCGTGCTACAGGAGGCGGAAAGGAGGCGGCGAGGGAGTGGAATGCTTGCACTAGCTCGTCTTGCCCGCTGACCGGCTGCTCTCCGAGGCTTTTGCTCAGCGCCAGCGGGTAGTCCGCGTAGAACTCGGCAGCAGAATCGTACGGCCCCGAGTCTGTTTCAATCAGCCGTCCCGCAACGAACGAGTCCGAGCCGTCTCGGATGATAGAGCCGATTTTTGGTAGCCGGATTGAGGCAAGCTGGACCATGATCTTAGCGACCTGACGCCAAAATTTCTCCTCGAACTGCGCTGGGATGCCTTCATGCTCGCCAGGATAGGTTCGAGACACCTCCTCTGCGGTGTTGCCGTCGACGTATTCGATAATAGAAAAGGGGCATCCAACAGCGTTTTGTTCATTCAGATCATAGGCGTAGACTCTTGGGATTGGGATGTCTGTGTTCTGGCTGTGAAAAGGCTTAGCAACATGAGAATGATCCGTAGCGAACTTACCGCACAAACTCCATCGTGGCAAGCTCGGACTGCATATCCAAGAGCATCCTCTCCCGGGTGAGAGGCGAGGCCATCCCGCTGCCCTGGTCCGGCATTGGAGGCATCCGTAGCCTCACGATCCACTCAACACCGTCGTCGAACTGGATCTTGCGCACGAGATTGAAACTTCCCACGGAAAACTCGGGAGAAACGGTGCATGGTTGATTCCCCCGAAGCAACGAGGCGTAAGAGAGCAGGGCTTTTTGGTTGATTTTGTCGATGAATTGATTGATGCGCTCGGCGTATTCACCTCCATATTCCTCCCCACTTGTCCAGGCAGCACTTCCGAATGGGAGAGAGTCCGCCATCGTCGCACGGCAATTTGGGGTATGTTGGCTGAGTGCCTCTAGGCACTTCGAGCCTGGCGCAGTTGAACCGACTAATGAGCCCTCAGCGAGGCAAAGAACACGATATCTGTTGCCGGATATGGTTACTACTTCACGTGACCTGGTCATGTATATATATAGCCATATTTCTCGTATTCTCAATCAATCAACTCATGTCTCAATACTCTGCAATTCGCCTAATAGTTATGAGCCCGGATTTGCCTACCACTGCAAATTGAACCTGCTGAGTTTATTTAATACAATTAGACGATAGAGTCACTAACTTATACACCTCGTCGTCGCCAACAGATCCTAGAGTCGCTCTAGAAATACGCCGTACACGATCGAATTGGCCCTGCGCACTATGATTTCCACGATAGAGGACACTATTACCGTTACTAACGTTACGAAAGCCGTCAAAATACTTAGTGCTCCGCAGGATTAGCCTTACTAGAAGTTTCTCGTGAAGGAAAAGGCTACACAATATAGGGTTTAGGCCTACTACAACCTAGATCTAAAAGAGTTAGAACGTAAGAGGATTTAGGAGGAGCCTAAACGCCTAACGCCGTTAACAATTAAGCAAGGAGCTACAAAGATAGGGGATCTCAACGCTAACGAAAAGTTAGAGTACTAGAACTAGAAAGAAAGGTATAAGAAGGACCTTAAGAAGCACCTCCTCGTACAGAAAGGTCTAAGGGAAGTATTAGTATACATTGCTACAACAATTAATACCTACCTTATACTACACATTATAGACAAGAACACAGCCTATAAAAGGTTAGTAAGCTTAAAGAAATAGGTTATAATAACTAACGCGTTACGTTAAGACGTACTACTAGAATAATACAAGAAAGTCTAGAAGACCTAGAGAGGTAACAAACTAGATAACTAGCTTAATAAATAGATTTAGATTACTAACTATATAGCTAAACTTAACATGCTAGACGTATAGAGTACACAAGCCTAGAGAGAGCTGCTTAAAGCTCTTTAACTAATTAATAAAGCGTACTCTACACTTAGAATTACGCAACTATTTACCTAGCTAGAAAATTAAGCTTCTATAGTGCTAGACCTAGTAGCAGAATTTAGACAGCTATAAAGAGCTACTAAACTTGTTACAGCTAGCCTAGAGACGTATATAACACTAGGTGCGGTATTACAATAATAGAACTAGGGCTAGAAATGTAGCAAGTTTTAAGAAGAAATACTAGAGTGCTTCTACGGGCGTTATTACTAGTTTAGCTAGTGCTTTTATGTTAACCTAAAGGTCCGTCTAACTAGCTAGAAGCCTAACGCGGAAATTTAGGCTAAGTTTAATAAGAAAAAGAAGGAAAAGAAGTAGGCTAAGAAGTTTAAACAAGCCGCTAATTAGGGAACCCCTAAATAGCGAAATAAACCTACGCTAAAAGCGAGCACTACTCTACTAAGCTTTAACGATAACAAGCTAATAAGCAGCACCCCTTTCGCTAACCTTGTATTCTGCTCCTTTAGTGCGACAGCTAAGGTTTTAGAAACCTAGAAGGCGGTTCTAATAGCTCTACACCTTATTAACAGGTAAATCTATAACTCTAGCTCTAATATTTACGTCTACAACTTAGAGAATTAGAGCTAGAAAAAGACAGCAGAAGCTAACTTAAACGTCGTCGTATACGCTAGAGGGCAAGCTATAAGAATTAAAGCTTAAAGAGAGGTAATTCTCTAGACTAATACTCTATTAGGACTAACTCTAATACGCCTTACCTATATAGCGTTAGTAGAGAGCTTCTTTATAAACGTTATAGGGCTTACGCGCTCTTAAGACGTTAGAATTTACTTTAACTCTAGCAGGGACGTTCTATATAAGAACGAGCCTAGCAATATAGTCTACAACTTAGAGTATAAACAGGGGCACTAGCTACTTAACGTAGACGAAAACAGCTACCTTAATCTATAGGAAATATTCGCTATATTTATAACAGTATATTAACTATTAAAGAACCTATAACTAGCGATAATCGCTACTAGAGCTAAGGCCTATTAACTATAGGCATACCTAAATAAGAAAGCTATTACGCACCTAGAAGAGGCTATTACTAGCTTTAAGCTTAAGGAGAATACACCTCTAGTTAACTAGAAGAACTATAACACTTATATATAGTTAAAAATAAATTATTAAGTCTTCTAGAGACCTAGATTAACGCCTACAAAGCGTTCCTTCTACTAAATAGAGATGGATTTAGTTTAACTACTACTAACAGGAGAAACCTGTTTTAACAAGGATAAGTAGAGACTTTACGCAATTAATAAATTCTTAGGCTAGCATAAAGAACGTACGTTACCCGCGAAAAGCAGAGTAGTGTTAATACCTACTATACGTAGAATAATTACTAAACTATAGCGTTAATTTAAGTACTTAGTTGTTATACTTAGAACTAACAATAAGAAGAGTTTTAGCAACGAGCTTGCTAAAATCTGTATTAAATTAGGTATTAAATATAAGCCTAGCTTACCTAAGACGCCTAAGTAGAATAGTTGTACAGAGAAAGCTAGAGACGTAATAATTATAAAAAGCTAAGTAATAAGAATTATAGCTAGATTACCTAGAGAGCTAGCTTTAGAGCTGTTTATTATAGCTATTTAGATTCTTAACACTACGCTAATTAAATTAAACAGCTAGAAAACTCTATATAAGGTAGTAATAGGTTACAAACTATTAGTAGCTTATTACGCCTCTATTAGCTATTAAGCGTATGTTTACAGAAAGAACCTTAAGAAAGCTAATAAACTAGAAGCACGTACTTATATTAGGTACCTACTAGAATAGAACTTCTTAAATATCTTTAGAATCTAGATACTCTTAAAGAATAAGGTTATCTAAACTTAAGACGTCTTGTTTATGCGCGATAAGCTATACAAGAATAACAGTAGTAAATATAGAAAGTCTCTAGCAGTTAATATAATTAATATTAAGGTGTATAATATCCCTTATAAAGAGCTTACGGCAAAGGTTAAAGATCTACTACTCTAGAGCTAATTACGCCTATTTAACATAACTTTAGACGAATAGACCTTAACACTAGAGCAACACGCACTAGCTAAAGAATTAGCGGAAGAAGACCTAGAAATATAAATCTAGAAGAAGTAACAATAAGCTAAGAAGCGTAACAAGTCTCTAAGAGGTTACTTAATTACTCTAGCGTCGTTAAGACACTCTACCCTACATAGAGAGAGCTTAAGAGGCGCGTTAAGAGAGACCAACCTCTCTAAGCTAAGCTTATCTACTGTTCGAGCTAAATCGCTATAAAGACCTCTTAGAGCTATAGAAGACTCTAAATATGTGCTAGATAGGTACTAGAATAATACTCTACTACGTTAAAACCTTAATTCTAAAAACCTAAGTAACATAATATAGAGTAGACGCTATAGACGCTCTTACCTAAGGCCTAAATACATAGCTAGCGCAATTAAAGCACAAAAGAAAGCTTAAATATTTAACTTAATACTATTAACAAACTTGTATAACTACGTATTTGCAGCTTTAGTAAGCTATATTAATAAACTAAGAGTTAACAGAGAGCCTATAAGGTTAAAACACTACCGCGATTAGATGCTACCTCTACCTAAGCGTTATAAGGATATTAAAGGCTATATATTTAAAGCTAAGTTTAAAGAGGCTGTATAGAAGGAGTTTAGTAACTACTTTAAGAAAGGGTGCTTTAAGGAGACGTTAGTAACGCTAGCGTTAACTATAGTAGAGTATCTTCTACTTATGTAGGTATTATCGTATAAATTTAATAAAGACGAATATCTGCTTAAGTGCAAAGCTCGTCTAGTAGTTTAAGAAGACCTCTAAATATAATAGGGCGATACCTATACCGCTACCTTAGCAGCAAGAACCTTTTAAGCTCTAGTAGCTATAGCAACCGCCTTTAGATTACTAATATATTAGTACGACGCTATAAACGCCTTTCTAAACGTAAAGCTTCTATAGAAGCTCTACTACTACACTCTAGAAGGTTTTACTAGTTAGTTTAGTAAGCTCTTAGAGCTGTATTAAGCTCTGTATAGGCTAAAGAAAGCACCTCTACTATAATATAAGGACCTTACAGAGACTCTTAAGGAGTTAGAACTTATTAAAATAAGCATTACACTATGCCTATAGGCTAGCGATAAGCTTATAGTCTTCTTCTTTATTAACAATATTGTCGTACTTGTCTACTTAGATAATACAGACGTTTACGCAGAGTTTAAACGCCGCCTACTTAAAAAGTATAAGATTAGAAAGATAGGTTAACTTAATTAGTTTCTAGGTATACAAGTCGTAAGAGACATAGAAGTAGTGTTAATCTAGCTAATCTAGAATTTCTTTATTAACAAGGTTGCTAATAAGTTTAACCTACTTCTAAAACTAGGTGCTAAGTATCCACAATTCTCTATAAGAGAGAACGACCTTACGAAATCTACAGAGGCACCTAATAGAGAGCAGACGAAGCTTTTCTAGTAGCTAGCAGGCTCGCTAGCATATATTTTCTACTTTACACGTCTAGATATATTAAGAGCTTACTTAGTATTAGCTTAATACTTAATTAACCTAGGTTAACAACATCTCTACGCCGCTATACACGTGTAGTAATATCTTATAGAGTTAAAAACTCTTACGCTAAAAGCGTTACAATACGCTGTAGAGAAGGAATACTTCTAGAAGGTAAATTTTAAAGAGCCTATCTTCTATAGAGCCTTAGATGCTTTATTTAGTAATAACTTAGATACTAGAGCGAGCTCTAAAGGCTATATCTTTAAGCTGTATAGATTACCTGTAGATTAGAAAGCTATAAAACAACAGATAGTAACTAAATTAACGACTAAGGTAGAGCTTCTAGCGCTTTTAAAGACAGCTTTAGAAATAGAGTAGTAGAACCTGCTTTTCTACTACCTAAAGCTAAACCTTAATATTAAACTAAAGCTTTAGTGCGATAATTAGTAGACTGTAGGTATAGTAACTA